AGGTTCACTGGAGTTGACCTATGGTTGGTTAGAGGCTACCAAGGTCAAGGATCTCAGGATTTAATTCAGATAGTTTTGTATCAGTTGCCTGGAAAACTTGGTGGCTGAAGACAAGGACCATTTCATTTCTCAGGATTCTGTGGATTGGCTTATGGTTTTACCAGTCTTACCTGGGTTCAATCAGGTGGCTGAATTCAGCTGATGGGTTAGCTAGGGACCAGACTAAGCTGGGCCTGCTGGACCACCTTCTCTATGAAGTGTTTCACCCTCAAGAGGCAAGACTGAACTTCTTCATATGCGGCCTTAGAGCAGCATTCCAAGAGGGCAATCCCCAGTGCATAAGCTCCTGTCAAACCTCTACTTTCCTGCTTTGATGATGTCTCATTGGCCAAAGCAAGTCATGTGGCTAAGCCCAGAGTCGGTGTCAGAGCGGATAACAGCAGGGCATGGATACAGGGGTGTGATTCATTAATGTAACAATCCACCATATATTTCTTCTCCAGATGAGAAATTCAGTAAGGTCAAGAAGATGAAAGACCAGAGTTGGGCTTAGAACCAATGGATACTTGTCCTGGCTTTGTGGCTCATTGTATTCAGTATAAGATGGGTCAAGTGGCTCTCTCACACTGTCTCAGTTTCCTCCTCAGTAAAATGGAAGAAGGGCTTCTACATCTCAGTTTAGCAAAAAGGCTTGTTATGTAAGAATATAAGAGCCCTCCTCCCATCAACTCTGAGGCCCCCACAGAAGGAAATAGACTAGAAGAATTAGAAGTAGGATAATTTGGGTTAAAGTCCCCTTCCCAGCGGCTTGCAAAACTGGTAAGACCCTTGGATAGACTACTAAGAAAGGTTATGGATCTCAGTAAGTACAGATCTTTCAGAAGTGGAAACAGCCCCATCTCTCCAGGCTAATGAACAAATGACTCCTGTCTCTTTTCATCCAGAAGTATCTGAGCTATTGTAATCTGCTAGTGAGACCTGGGGCCCAGGCAGTGAGATCTGGGGAACAAAGCTTACCCTGAACTCACCAGCTCAGTACCTATCTCACTGTCCAGAATCTATTGCTGAAGATTCCTCCAGGGGAACCTTGACTGCAGCGTGAAATGGGCAGGTGTTCCTTCTCCAGTGGGGCTTGTTAGCACTTTCCCCAAAGCTGCCTTCCCTCGGAGGTTTCATGTGTATTTCTTTGTTCAGTAATTGGCACTGACCTAGCCCTGACCTCCAGGCTTCAGTCCCCTGTGCATCTAAAGGCGATAGCTACAGAGACTCCTGAGGTGGCAGGGACCTGAGGCAAGGGGAAGAAGTAAGGTGGCTTCTGGACTTCGGGCTGCCTGAAGACTGACATCCTGCATCAAACCAGGGGACTGGGTGAGAAGAAGGCAGGTCTCAGATAGAGCCACACTATAACTTAAAAACTCCCACAGTTTGGGAGTCAGCTGAGGGATCCCATCCTCACCCCAAATATAGGGTAGATGAGCTCTTTCTCATTTTCTTTCCTTTAACCATTCATTAATTCAAGCACTAGTTATTGCCAGGCACTTGATACACAATGGGGATTTTTAAAAAAACTAGTTACAAGGGGAGGTGAGAGACAATGTGAAATTAGAGTGCCAAGTTCTATGGAAACATTTTAAACAAGAGAGTATGGCCTGGTCTTTCTCTCTTAGGAAGTTCCTTTTGAGCTCAGACTAAAGGATGAAGGAGGAATAGACACAGCTGGATATGGAAAGGAGGATGGTTTGAGGGCCTGAAATGAGGCCAGAGTGGCAAGTAGGTAGAGGGCTTGGGGGAAGATGGGACAAGCTAGGCTGGATATGCAGGCAGGGCTGGATCACCAAGTAGCTCAAAATGTTCATACTTTGCAGTTTAATTTAATAGCAAAGATAAACCATTGACATAGGAGCATGAGCATGGTCAAATTTACACCTTAAAAAGGTCACTGTAGACCGTGCACAAACAGGTTGGAGAGGTTAGGATGTGCCATGGCCAGTCAGTCATATTCCAGGATGAAATGATGATAGCTGGGCTTAGGAGTGGCAAGGGGAGATGGCAAGAAATTAGTACAGTCAAGAGACTTCTCAGGTGGTTCATGGGACAGGACTTGCTGAGGGTTTGGATACAAGTGTGAAGAAGAGGGAGGTAATGGGATGTCTTTGAGTTGCCAATTTATGGAATAGATGGATAGCAATGCCACTCACTAATGTAGAGGACACTGGGAAAAGACAGAGGGGTAGGACCATGTAAGGTCAGCTTTGGACATCCTGAATTTGAAGTAGATTTCAGGCAGTTTGGTATGTGCTTCTGGAGCTCAAAGAAGTTGGTGGGGTGGGGGGAGCTAGGGCTACAAACTTAGGCACAGAGGTGATAACTGCAGCTGCAGCCACAAGCAAGATGATTTAGGACAAGAGTACAGCAGGAGAGGAAGAGGGCCAAGGCCCAGGCCTGGAGGAGTGAGCCTGCAAAGAGATCTGATCAGAGAGCTGGGAGAACAACCATCGGGCAGATGCAAGGAAGAGTGTTTCAAGGAAGGAGAGGTCAGCAGTGTTGAATGTTCCAGAGAAGTCAAGACCATGAGGCCTGATTTGAAAGTGTCTTTTGCATTTAGTGACATGAAATCATTGGTAACTGTAGTAAGGGCTCTTTTATAGTGGGGGGAGGGATAGTGGGGAAATTCAGTTTTAGAATGGGTTGAGGAATGCGTGGGAGGTGAAGAAATGAAGACAGCTTGGCTGAGAACTTTGGTTGTGAAGGGAGGAGAAAGAGGGTAGCTGGAGGCGGATGTGAGATCTAAAAGATTTTTAAAAAATGAATAGACCAAAGCATTTGTAAATACCAATAAGAAGAATCCAGACTTGGGGTTGAGAGTCAAGGTCAGGGAAGGCAGGGTGGTTAAGGGCCTGAGGGGCAGGGATGACTGACTAATGGGGTAGGTGTCTGAGAAGGAAGGAGGGATTCAGCTCTCAAGCCAGGAGGAGTGACAGGACTGGTTCACACAGCTGCAGGCAGGTTGCAGTGGCTGGTGTGGGGGATGTGGAAGGTCCCATCACATGGTCTCCCTTGATAAGAGTGTCTGCGTAGAAGGTTTGGTGGCATGCAGCCCTTGCACCACTATTTTCCTCTTTCCAGCCACCCTTAATTGCCCTGTTTCACAGTGCGTGTGGTGGCTCAGTTGCTGAAGGCCCTGCCCTGGAAGAGGCCGCTATGGGCAGCTTCCCAGGGGGTTGTGCTAGAAATGTTTAAGGACAGGACCAAAAATCACTTCTCTCAGAGGCGAGATCATATTCAAAGGGCAGACAGACAGTCAGACCCTTGCTCAAGAGGAAATGGCAACTGCTTACTTTGGTTGTCCATTTTCTTGTGAGGGTGAAGAAAGGGAGGCTGAGTGGTCAGGGAGTGGAGGGTTTGATCCCCTTTGAGGTGAAAGGGGGAGACCTTCCTCAGGCAAAGAGAAAGGCTGGGACTGGAAGGGCAGGCAGCAAGAGTGACTGTGTCTCTTGGCCTGGAAGTGGGTGGCCTGCAAAGAGCCCCACCCCCTGCAGGAGTGAAGAGGAGTGGGAAGGAGGGGTTGTGTCTGGACCAGCTGGGGCATTGAGCCCCCAGATAAAAGGTCCCTTCCAGTGTAAAAAGTGGTCCTATTTTCCTCTAATTGGCCAGGCACACATTCCAGGCAGTTCTCCCTTGTATAGCTGTGGGACCAGTGTGGTGAAGGAGACCCTCTCTCTCTGGGGTCCCTTGGTAGCAGGGATCCCTGCCAATATGAGGCTGACCTGGTGATGGGGACAGAGTTCTGGCAGGCAGGTGTGAGGACCCTGGGATGAAGAAGCCTTTTTAATCATTAACCTGGCTGATTGAAATCTGAACCGCTGTGCCTCCAGCTTTATTGATTCTCTCTGAAAGCACAGCATCTGGAGCTAGTGGCTGCTCAGAGACCAGGGAGAGGGACAGGGGGAGAAGTCGGGGAAGAGAGCATAGAAGGAAATGGGAACAAGGCTAGGAGTGGGGGCCCAGGAAGGAGGGCTGAGGTGGGGTCAGAGGGCCAGGGCGCTGGTGGACAGGTGTCCTTGAGGCCATGAAGCTTGAGCAGGCGTTGGAGGAGGTGTGGTCAGCAGTGCCACAGAGGACCGCTGACCACAGGAAGGAGCAGCTGAGAGGAAAAAACTGGAGCCTAGAGAAGCATGGTGACCTGCTCAAGGTGACAAGGTCAGAGCCTGCACCAAAACCAAGGCCAGCTGACTTCACTGCGCTGAGGAAAGAAGATACAGAAATGAAAGGCCCTAAGGTCAGGGGAGAAGCTGAGGTTGGTAGACATGGCAGATTGGCAAGATAGGACTCACAACTGTGTTTCTGAAGATAGGGCCTTCCCTCTTTTGGCCTTGAGGGTGTAGTAGGATTCAGAAAACAGCTCTGGACTGACTGCTTTCTCTGGATGGGAAGTTAAAGGGGGAGGCAGACTTAGAAGACAGGAGTTGAGGAAGGCCATCAAGGGAGGAAGGAGAGATAAGTAGGAGAGATGCTAGAAGGAACTGCACAGCAAGGAACACCAAAAGACACCTGTCCATATTCACTTAGTCAAAAGCCATGCCCTGGATGCCCTAGGCTGACTGCTGGGTGATGAGCTTCCTAGGAGAACCAGAAAAGGAGGGAAAGGGCAAGTTCTGCAGATAGAAACAGGTACACAAAGAAAGTATGGGGTAATCAAGGGTAGAGAGAGACAGGGGCAGAGATAACACATACACAGAGATACTATGGTTCTGATAACACAGAAAATGCTATGATTCTACAGAGAAGACAGAAGCAGACACGAGGTCTCTGAGGCCATGTTGAGGATGCCACAGGACCCATGTTGTGTCTGTGGTTGCTAGCCTGCCCAATCCTGCCTCATGGATGCTTCACTATGGATGCTTTAAAAGGAGAACATGTGGCTGGCAGGGTGAAGGACCCGAGGTGGTGAGTCCAGAGTCCCTTGTCAATAACATCTTTCTTTCCCCTTTCTCTGACAGCTCAACATCCTGGTGGACACAGGCAGCAGTAATTTTGCAGTGGGGGCTGCCCCCCACCCTTTCCTGCATCGCTACTACCAGAGGCAGCTGTGAGTCCTGGGGAGAGTTGGAGGGGATAATATGTCCCAAGGATACAGGGACAAGAAGGGTCAGAGAAAAGGAGAGGGCTGCAGAAAGACTAGTCTTCAGACCCTTTCCTCCTGCTGGGGGAGGGGATGGAGAAGAAGGCAACAGCAACCTGGGCAGAAGAGTGGGGTGCGGTGGATCTAAGGAGATGTACCATGGGAAAGGGTGAGTTAAGAGGCAGTAGGAAGTTTTCAGTATTGAGGCCAGGCAGCTTCCTGTGGCAGGGAAAGGAGAGTAGCCCCAAAGCTCCCAGAGCAATCTCAGGGTCTCCTTCTCTCGTCCTGAATGGGGAGACAAGGGGATTTCATTCCCCTTGTCTCCCCCACTCAGCGGGGGAGACCCACACCCACTCAGCGGCTCTCAGTTTTCAGACAACACCAGTTAAGTGTAGGCTGAGCAGGCTGTGTGACAGCTCACTTCACTGTGTCCTCACCCAGGGGTCACTCTCTGTGGCTTTGCACAGTTCACAGAAGTGAAGAAGGAGCCTTCCATAAACCCCATTGCCTGGATCAGTCTCAGGGACTGTAAGCTAAAATGTCTCCTCCTGCATTACCCAAAGCTCCAGCAGTTGGATTTAGCTAACTGGTGGAAGGGTGGGTTGAAGTGGGTTTTTAAGGTAATAGAGGCAGTGAGGCATAAAAGCAGCAAGAGGCATGAGAACATCTAGTGTCTGAGGCATCTCTGTGTGTGAAAACATGTGAGTAGAGACTTGAATCCCATTTTTGGACTTCTAGGAAGATGCCAAAGCCACCTTCTCCAACTCCTGCCTTCTGAGGCTGCCTCCCCTTTAACTTCCCATCTAGAAAAAAGCGGTCAGGGAGTGAGGTGTGCTCACAATGAAAGGGAATTATTCCAGGTTCTTGTCCTAGTCCTGTCATTGTCCCTGATGAGACACACCAAGTCCTGGTTAGTGGTGTGATTAAACACAGCTGGGGGTATTGACAAGCATGTTTCACATAAGTGGTGTGTAATACCTACATGTTCTGCTTAGGAGCTTGTGCAAATCCCTTCTCTGGAAGAACTTGTAGAGGTTCCACATTTGTCTTGCCTGGCACTTTGTCTACCACTTAGATGGTACCACTGGGTCCCAAGGCAGCAAGGGAATCAATGGCTCCTTTTCTCTGGGAGCTTGATGGAGCTGAGGGTGGGGTGGGCAAGAGATGCCCACTAGCTGTCCCTTTAGCAGCAACAAGCACAATACATAAAGCCTAGCCTTGTTCTTCACAAGACCTGAGCTCAGCATCTAGAAATAGGAGCTATGGAGACAGGAGAGCAAACCCCAGCAATAGCTCTATTCCCCTCATTGGTTGGCCAGGTCACTTTACATTATATTCTGGGCGATTGATCTCCCTGGAGTCTTCTGAGCAGACTGGGAGCATCTATCTTACTTATCTAGAATGCCCCTGAGATGAGGCGAGGCATTCAGGAGTTGCTTTGATGCTGGATCCCTGTACCAGTTGTTGTGGTCATGCAACCATAGATCTCCGCCTCCATTTTCACAGGTCCAGCACATACCGGGACCTCCGGAAGGGCGTGTATGTGCCCTACACCCAGGGCAAGTGGGAGGGGGAGCTGGGTACCGACCTGGTGAGCATTCCCCATGGCCCCAATGTCACAGTACGTGCCAACATTGCTGCCATCACTGAGTCGGACAAGTTCTTCATCAACGGCTCCAACTGGGAAGGCATCCTGGGCCTGGCCTATGCTGAGATTGCCAGGGTGAGTGGAACAGGCCTAGCTAGCTCTAGACGTTGTGTCTGTGCATTGCACACTACACAGGGGTGGAGTGGAGAAAGAGAAGGGGAGGAACTTACTAAGGGAGGGAAACAAATCAGTTTTAAAGGCAGTCTGAAGTTAATCCCTACGGAGAACAGAACTATAGTGAGACAGAGTGATAGGTACAGAATAGGCTGTGTTTGCTACTAATTATGAGATCTTTAAGAATAAGAAGGCCCCATAAATTTCAATCAGGTTAGGCACAGATCAAAGCTCCTATAGATCCATAGGCCCATTAGTACTCTCCTGTTTGCATTGCCAGTGTCTCCTAACCCTGTCTCTCCCCCACATCTCAGTACCTCAAGATGGTCTTTCCCAAGGAACAATCCCCAAGTCTTTGCTTTTGCCTTCCAGTTTAGGCAGGGAGCTGGCCACAGTCCACTAGGGTCCTCTGTGTGAGGACTCACTCCTTGTCTCTTTCTGCCACAGCCTGACGACTCCCTGGAGCCTTTCTTTGACTCCCTGGTAAAGCAGACCCACGTTCCCAACCTCTTCTCCCTGCAGCTATGTGGTGCTGGCTTTCCCCTCAACCAGTCAGAAGTGCTGGCCTCGGTTGGAGGGAGCATGGTGAGTAGGTCCTAGGAGGGAGGTCCTGGCACTGGCAAAAAGATGGGTACTATCTGCCTCCCTTTCCTCCACCAAGCCATGCCACAGTCCTGGGCTTCACTATTTAGTATCTTTATATTCCCTACCCCCACCTTTCTTTGTCCATCCTTTCTTCCCTGCATTATTCCAGAGAGAATTCAAGTACTTATGATAAACTTGGAAAGGATCAGAGATAATTAGAAAAGTTTCAAAGAAAATGAAAATAATACCTATTGGATTAAGATTATTCAGTCTGATGACCAGGAGGCGAAGATGTAGGAAGTTTAAAAACCTATTTATTAATTAATTAGAACAACTGGTAACTGGTTCTCCATCTCCAACAAGCAGAGAAAATAAAATTTATAGAAGCAAATAATCATTCATTCAACATTTATTGTGCCAGTTTAGGTTTAAATAATTTCATATCAAGGACTGTGTGATTCTGAAACAAATAATTAAAAATCTGGAAAGTCTCTTCCCCTGACATATTCTTAGTATATTTTAAGAAGCTATAAGTCACTTTGGGGCATGATTTGATCAGAAGCAGAAGATGAAAAAGCTGATCTGTAGGGGACCTTACTACCCCCAGAAATTACTGGTCCTATCGCTTGTTTTCAGGGTGACTTGCTGGCCTTCTGTGCTGGGACTCAGGTACTTGCCTCTTTTTCTCCCTAGATCATTGGGGGTATCGACCACTCGCTGTACACAGGCAGCCTCTGGTACACACCCATCCGACGAGAGTGGTATTATGAGGTGATCATTGTGCGGGTGGAGATCAATGGACAGGATCTGAAAATGGACTGCAAGGAGGTAATAAAACCAAGATAGCAGGGAGAGATAAGGGGGGGAGGTAAGACAGTGTGAGGTCAGACCCTGGTTTATGAGATTGGGAGGGCAAGGCAGAGGTGCAGGACCTGGAGAAAGACTTGGGGACTGAACCTAGAACAAACAGGAGCATAAGGGTCACATAGCAGGACCTGGGGTTTGGAGCAAGGGGCTGGCAGAGCACTTTCACAGGGGCCACATGGCTTATGGTTTAGTAACAACAACTGCATTTCCGCACCCTAGTCACTGCCTTGCTTTATGGCCTTCAGCAATTCATTGGCAAGGCAGTGTGATATGATGATATGATGATATATGTAAGAGTCCTTCTTTGGAGTCAGGAAGACCTGGGTTTCTAGCTCTGTCATGTACTGGCTACCTGCCCTTAGGCAAGTTACTGTGTTGTTTCTCAGTTTCCTCATCTACAAAACAGGTAAAACCAGCATTTGAAAGACTGTGGTGAAGATAAAGAAAATGAATTAAGTGTTTATCCCAATGCCTAGCACATAGCAGTAACCAATAAACGGCAGCTCAATCATGTGGGTCTCCCTTACTTAGATTCTTAACATGTGCTAAATTAGAATAGATTTAGAAGTACTTTGAAAAGTTAAAACCACTATACAAGATATTTTTATTTTCAAGATTTGGAGACTGCCTTCCCACCCAAGCTAATGAGTTAACATTTACTAAATGCATCCTATGTGCCAGGCCCCATTCTAAGCACTTTGAATGTATTAATTTATGTAATCCTTATAATAGCTTTTTGAGGTAGGTACTATTATCATTCTTTAAGATTCGGAAACTGAGGCTGCAAGGCTAAGTAACTTGCCCAAGGATATATACATAAAAAGTGGCAAAGCCAAGATGCCAACCCAGGCAGGATGCCAGTCAGACTCACCCCTCTGACTCCAGCCAGACCCTGGCATCAAAAAAGGCTCCTGACTATTCTAACACTCTCTTCTCCTCTTAGTACAACTATGATAAGAGCATCGTGGACAGTGGCACCACCAATCTTCGTTTGCCCAAGAAAGTGTTTGAAGCTGCAGTCAGATCCATCAAGGCGGCCTCCTCGGTCAGTGGGACTAAGGACAGGGGCACAGAAATGACCAAGTCAGAGGAAGTCTGTGAAAGTCACATTCTTTAACAACAGCCAGAATGTCTACTCTGAGACCCTTCTATTTAAAAGCTCTTAAAACTTTTTTCTTGTTTTTTTAAAAGATTTTATTTACCCATTTCTAGACAGAGAAGGGAGGGAGAGAGAGGGAGAGGAGTATCAATGTGTGGTTGTCTCTCGAGTGCCCCCAACTGGGGGCCTAGCCCATAACCCAGGCATGTGCCCTGACTGGGAAACGAACCAATGACTCTCAGTCTGGTGCTCACACCAGCCAGGGCATGCTCTTAAAACTCCTTTGTTTGCTCATCACACAATCCATCTGCTACAAGGTTTTGGCCTCACTCTGCCGCTTTCTTCCTCTAACTCTTGGGTGTCAGTTCCCTTTCTCCAGTTTGGATATTTCAGGAGAGGCAAATACAGTCAAACCTTGGTTCGCGAACATCTCCCATCTTTAACAATTCAGTTCTCAACCAAGTTGTTCATGGAAAAATTGTCTTGGTTGTCAAAAACTTCCATCCTCGACCCAGCCACCTTTTCATGCTGATAACCTGTATGATCGGTCACACGTCTCTCAAGCAGCAAAGGAGAGAATGTGTATCAGTATGATTCTGTTTTTTAACAAATTGCTTCTTGAACAGCCTTCTGGAATGAATTAAGTTTGAGAACCAAGGTTCCATTGTAAAGGGCCCAGTAAATGTATGCAAAAATGGGAGAGGCAAGATGGTGAAAGAGGCTGTTTCCTCATTATCCCTTTCTGACCAACACAGACGGAGAAGTTCCCAGACGGCTTTTGGCTAGGGGAGCAGCTAGTGTGCTGGCAAGCAGGCACCACCCCTTGGAACATTTTCCCAGTCATCTCACTCTACCTAATGAGTGAGGTCACCAATCAGTCCTTCCGCATCACTATTCTTCCACAGGTATGTCCCTAACCTGAGTCAGTGGAACCCCAGGAAGACACAGTACATATAGAAAGTCAGCAGGCATGGCTTCCCAGAATTTGGAAGACAAAGCAGATAAGTGTCCAGTGGTAAAGGGCTCTTGGAAAAAACAACCCTTCAGAGCTCAGGGATGGCAAAGGGAAGACTGGCCCAAGGACATAGATACCTAGAATGCAGAGATGGGGAGATGGATGGAGTGAAGAGTCTAAGTCTTTGATTCTTTGTCCTTAGCAATACCTGCGGCCAGTGGAAGACGTGGCCACATCCCAAGACGACTGCTACAAGTTCGCCATCTCTCAGTCGTCCACGGGCACGGTTATGGGAGCAGTTATCATGGAGGGCTTCTACGTTGTCTTTGATCGGGCAAGAAAACGAATTGGCTTTGCTGTCAGTGCTTGCCATGGTGAGAACACCAGGGTATGGGGTCAGTCTATCCATGTGCTCCCTGTCCAGCAGTCAGGATACCTAGGCCCATCAGTTTAGGAGGTAATAACAGTTGCCTCAAGCCAGTCAACACACTGGGTAAAAGCCAGTGTCAGTGCTCATGCTTTTTTTTTGTACTGCCTGCCTGGGTTGGTAACCTCTGCTGGATACCCAGGGCAGCAAGAGCTGTCTGGCACCTCAGGAAGCTCTAGATCCAAGGACAGCAGGCTGAGCCTATAGTGACCCTGTCACCTGCTATATGGCAAGGTTGAATGCCACTTCAGAATGGTAGCAACTATCTTGCAACTAGATTTTAGCAGTGCCAAATGAGACTACTAGATGTATATGGGGCTGACTTTTTAGTCAACTTCAAACAACTGACTTTTGAGTATCATCCATACTAGATAGGTACACAGAAAAAAGTTGTTGCTCCCAATGATCGGGGAGCAGAGACATGCCTCCACCTAGCACTGGCTTTCGACAGCTTCCTCAGGGGCTAATTTCAAGGCCTATTGGGAGTTCTTTTTGTTGTATAATGCAAACTGCTCTATGATGACACCTGCCCACTCACATGTGCCCTTTCTCCAGTGCACGATGAGTTCAGGACAGCAGCAGTAGAAGGCCCGTTTGTCACCCTGGACATGGAAGACTGTGGCTACAACATTCCACAGACAGATGAATCAACCCTCATGACCATAGCCTATGTCATGGCTGCCATCTGCGCCCTCTTCATGCTGCCACTCTGTCTCATGGTGTGTCAGTGGCGTTGCCTCCGCTGTCTACGCCATCAGCACGATGACTTTGCTGATGACATCTCCCTGCTGAAGTGAGGAGGCCCATGAGCAGAAGGCAGAGATTCCCCTGGACCACATCTGGGTGGCTGGTCCAATTTGGTCACAAGGAAACAGATGGCACCTGTAGCCAGAACACCTCAGGACCCTTACCCACCCACCAAATGCCTCTGCCTTGACAGAAAAGAAGTAAAAGCTGGCAAGGTGGGTTACAGGATTGCACCTGTAGGAAACAGGAAAGAAAGCAAGCTCTAGTGACAGGAATACTCTGTCACCTCAAACTTGACTTGAGGAATTCTGTTGCTTGAAACTTCAACCCTGAGTCTTTGCCCACCATCCCTCTCAATCCCCCAACCCAAAGTATTCTTCTTTCCTTAGTTCCAGAAGTAATGGCTCCCACCCAGGTGATCCCAGTGGGCGTCTCTGCAGTACCTGGAAGAGAAAAGGGCCAGTCTGTTTCCCTGCTGCCAAGTCAGTAAGAGTGAATGCAGTTTGCTTTTGCGTTAGGGATAGGAACTGTATCAATGAGCCTAACTTGGTGCAAAGACTGCCTCTTGAATTAAAAAGTAATTTGACTCAATAGTTGTACAAACGGGAGTGGCTGGAAGAGGAGGAGAGGGAGTGCAAAGACAGGGAACACAAGGGGATCCAAGCTAGGAAAGGTGGAAGCATGACTTCTCGCCAGTTCCAGTTTCAGACTTCATCTCCGAGACAGAATCCCATCTCTGTAAGATGGTGTTGCTTCCCAGTGTTTTCTTTTCTGCGGCTGCAGCTGGACCAAAAGTGAGATGGGAAGAAGAGCTTATTTAACAACAACAAAAAAAACAACTCTTTTTAGCTTTCTTAAACGAAAAGTGTTCAGTAAGAAGTTCCATCTAACTGATGAATTTCTACCTTACTGATTCCACTTGTCTCTATCTGAACACTCTGCTCTACATATGCTAGGTACCACTGAAATATCCCAACCCTCCTAAACCCCAGTGCCCTATGGAAAGCAACTGGAACAGTGCAAACAGAGCAGGGCTGGGCTTCATCTTGCTGGGTACCTCTTCACTCCCTCCCCCAAATCCCTAGTCCTCTGGAGCTCTGCAGCTGAGGTGCTAAGAAGAAAAGACAGGAGACCTCTCCTACCTAATAATCCTTGAAAGCAGAATCCTGAAGATTCATTCAACAGGTATAGGGGTGATGCCCTTTATTCATGCTTGGTTTCTTCCTGTTCAGCTTTAAGTTGTAGTAAGACCTTTCCATAATACAGAGCAATTTCATTGAGGTCTCACCCTCTCTATCTCACTCTCCGTCTATTTGGCTAAGGCATGCCACTGTGGCGCAAGTATTATACCAAGAGTGTCAGGAACACAAGGCTTTCAGGTTATAGCATCATTGCCTTCAGTATCAAGGCTGCCTGGAGAGTGGATGGCAGCTTTAGGGCTTCCTTACTTCACCATGAGAGCCTGTCAAAGGAATCTACCCTTTTCTCCTGTTCTGCTCTCTATTCCCCACTCCTAACAGTAGTTGGGTACCTAGGCTGGTTCTTGGGCTACATATTGGTGACCAAGTTCATTACCTATCACTTCTACCACAGTCATCTATGATACCAGTGTTAGTGAGAAGAGCTGAATTTTCCTGGTATACCCACTGGATCTTATTCCTTACACGGTCAATACACTGTTTCCAGATATGGGACCTGTCAAGTGTGGAATTACCCGATGAGGGAGAGGGAATTACAAGAAGGGCCTCTGGAAATCCTGTTGCCCACAAGCAGCCAGTTGCCCACAAGCCATAAACCAATAAATCAAGAACACTGAGTCATAGTTTTTATCTGGATTCTCTTCATTCCCCCGCAGTTGGTGCTTCTTTGGCTGACTGGGCACACCGTATAACTATTATGACAGACAGGAAGACTGGAGATTGTCTACTTCCAGCTCGGACCTTACTGTGTAAATAAACCTCCAGAATTGCTACCATGGAATAAAAATGCCACATTCTGCTTTATAATTTCTGCCCATGTTGAGGAAAACCTTTTTGCTTTTCTCAGTTCTTTCCAGGGCATAAAACTCAACCCCTTCATTAGTAAGTTCCACTGTCCTACTTTTCTTTAAGAGAAAACCTGGGCTTGCTTTTTACAGTTAACTTCCTTTCTACCCTGAAACTATAAACTCTAAGTATATGAAGAAAAATCTTGACCACAGCTTCTTGCCTGTACAAATATGTATTCTATGTGTCTATTTTTAAATTCTATTCCAGAAAAATGGTTGTCCCCACTTTCCTCACTGTACTGGGGCCTTTCTCACTGACTGCATGGCTTTTCCTGCCACAGGCCAGCGGGCAGAAGGAAAGGGAGAGCAAGGCTGGCCAAAACTTCAGTGCTGCTTTCTGACTGATCCTGCACAAGGAAAAGGAAAGAGCAACAGTAAGGCTTCAGTTCCCATGCACAAATCTCCAAAACACTTGTCCTCCGGGCTGTAGCTGGCTTTCAAGGGCTTTTACTAGGTAGTGGTTAATCCCCCCTATCTACTTCCTCCTTTTCCTCTCCTTTGGATTAAAAGACTTGTGCAAAGAAACATAATATTCTTTATATACACTTCTAATTTCTAAATTTTCAGATTATACTAAAATATACTGTAGGTAGCCTGAAGGCTGCTATGAAGTTGAGGGGAAATAAAATCTTAGGTTTAAAAAATAAAAAAAATGAATCCTCCACCAATTAAAAAGAACAAAGAAACTGCTCTTCCATTTTGCCACATTTCCTGATCATGACAGCTACCACACAGGAGACATTCATATTTTATTAACCAAGGGAAGTGGATTAATGTCACTTCATTAACCCACTCAGGCCATTTCAATAACCCTACAAGATGCCCAGAAGTTTCTGGGAAATCCAGTTCCTTAGACTGATGTCAATCAATAAATCTGGGCAAGTAAGACAAGAGAAGAGGAAGAATATGTCCATGAGCTGACAGGTAAGGATGAAAGACAAAGAAGAAAAAGTAACAAAAACAGAAAGGAGAAAATTAGATGAACATGAAAACTAACAGTGTTTGCTACACTAATGTATTGCTAGTGTGAGTAAGCATTTCCAGATCCCAGAATGGAAAAAAAATTCAGCTGTTGGTGATATAATAATACCCTTTCCCATGGATACATATATTTTTAAAATTGACACTAAGTTTTCAGTTGTTAATTCCAAAAAAGAAGAGTGCTGAAGCCACTTCTGCTAAGGGTAAAGATAAAAGATAAGAAAAGATTCAAAGCTCTAACAGAGTCACAGTTTTCCTAGGTATAAACCAGAATTGCTCAGTAAGTAGAGTTGGAAAAATGATCTAATTCCAGATAACTGTCCATATAACAAATGACATATAGACCTGAAACCCCAGCTCTCTTCACATCACTTTGGTCTCCATTTTCCCCAGGGCAGGACACGTGCCCTCTATCACTTTCTTGCTTCAAAAATTAAAACCCAGCATCTCAAGATCATTCTGAAAATAATTTTGCAGACACCTCCTCACCCCAGTGCCTGCCTAGAGCTCATCCAAGGTCACCACACAACTTGGTTGTGAATTATCTGCCTTAACTTTCGAAGGGGTATGGGGCTAGGTAGACTGAGACCAGAAATACAAGGGGAGAGGTAAGGACTTGACAAGGTTGACCAAGTCCATGGTGGCGAGGGATGGCTTGCCAGAAGAGACCTGTAGATTGTGCTAATTTCTAGAGATGACTATCTAGGAACAGAAGTCTGTGAAAGTGTGAGGGAAATGGGACCTGGTTATGCTGTTATTCTTAAGACTGTGAATTTTGCTGATGTAAAACAGAATATTCTATAAACCTAAAGTCTATGTACAAAAAATAAGAGCTAACAGAGTAAAATACTCAATGAAAAAGTCAAACTATTAGGGTTACATTTTTTTCCTCAATCAGTCTCATTTTTCCATTTGAAGTAGAGTTTCTAGAACACACTGAGGCTTGGGAGGCTTTCAGTAAGCAAGGCATCCATTTGGACAGTGGGTGAGCACCAGGGCTGAAATCTGCATACATAAGATTTAAGAAAATGGACTTGTAGTTGAGCCAAATCAAAGTAGGATAGCCTTAGAGCAACAGTAGCTTCCTAATGGTTTTTATATTATACTTGGAAACAGCTTTAGGCAGCAATATCATAATTTCAAGGTCAAACTAAATATCATCTTAGCTACAATCTGCACCCCCCAAAGGGACTGCATGGTGAAGGGGACAGACCATTCTGCATAATATACATACTTTCATTTACGAACATTTGAATACAGACTTTCTATACACACATTACCCTATATAATAAAAATGTACATGGCATGAGTATATGTCACTGTATAAATATAGAGTTTTAGAAATCTTGAACCCGCGCTTCCTGTTCACATCAGTTTCTCTTCTTCTTCCACCCAATCCGGTCCGTCATTTAAGAGTTGGACAAAAGGGACAAGTGTCATTTGTGTTGGTCTGGGCCCAGAATTTGATACACTGGAAAGAAAAAAAGACATACCTCAGGTTTATCTGGAAAGATGGAAGGAAGGAGGAGAGAGAGTGTTATTAAGGTTCAATGGGTCTAAGAAATATTTACTAAGTCAGAAAAGCTCTTACTGTGGGGGATTAGAAGGTCTATTTCATCGACTCTTACCCCCAAAAGAATCTTCAGAGCAAGAGAACCTATTCTTTTTATAGGGAACATGAACAATCAACTAATAATAGTGTGAAGCTGCTTTTTTGTTGAATAGCTAGGCTTGCTCCTTCTCATGATCCACTTAGGCTCAAATGAGCCTCCATCTGCTAATACACATCACCTTAAAATTTTTCTCAGAATGTTCCATCAAGAATTTAGATGTAAATTCAGTTTCTACCTTTAGTTACAACAAGATAAGCAAAATAAAATAGTGAAAAAGAATCATACTTCTTTCATTCAGCTGCTAAGAGACTTAACTCTGCTTGGTAACCATAAATATAGGAATAATTTGTCAGTTTGGATAGATAATCTCTAATAGGCACGCCTTCAAGCTATTCTGTTAATGGAGTTACTAATCACTCATTCAGGTTCTCTATTCCATTCCTCTCATCGACGCAGTCTGTCAACAATGCTATATTTGAAACAACAGCTAGATATGTATATCCTATTATCAATTTTTCAAGAAAGTCACCTATCAGTGCTCTGTTATGAATTGCTTATCAAGTCCCCTATAGAGAACAGAGTAAAAGGAAGCTGGGAGAGTAAAAGGAAGCTGGCTGCCACTATTCTGAATTCTGCTGATGTTTACACCACAATTTACCAAAAGATTAGATATTAATGATGAGCATCAACACTAAAATGTGCAAGAAAAATAAAACTACCTTGGTTGTCAGAAAAGAAAGAGTGGAAAATGAGGAAGGAAAGTAGTACCCACCTCCTTATGCAACACATGAGTACATGCCATTGGGTGCAGCTCACTGGGCTGGACAAGTTTCTGGCACATAAGACACAGCTTACAGGTGGCTGGAGCCTGCATAACAAAGGAGGAATGGTCAAGAGCACAAGAAAATGAGAAAGCTCTGAGTCTCTTTTCCTTTTATGTCCATGATTCCAGCTACTGTTTCCATGTAATAAAAAGATTTTACGCTAGAAGAAGTGAAAGTTCATATAGAGATTCTTGCCAAAAGTACTCACATTTTCCCAGTTGTGGCTGCCAACAACCAAGCTGATGAGATAATGGCTTCTTCCTGCACTCATCTGTAAACCCACTCCCTTCTTACTGACATTCTCTCCCCCACCTTCAAATCCTAGTTTTCAAAGAAAATGAGCCTTACATGTGAAGACCTTCCAGGATATGAAACTTGTGCAGAAGGCAAGAACATTGGGGTACTGATTTGGGTCAACGGAGCAGGGAACAAGGCCCGGATCCGACCAAGTGGCTGTGGGCAGAAACAGTGTCAGAGTAAGGAGAGGGTCTGAGTAACAGAGTATGTAACAAAAAGAAATCATTTAGTACCTAGTTGGCAAAGGAAGACAGCAAACTAGATCCCCTGGCTGCAGTGCTGCCTCTCCCCTGTATCCTGGCAGGTCTGAGCCCTCAGCAGCGTGTCCTACCTGGGTGCTGGCTGCTGCCCGTTCATGCTCTGCCAGCCGTGCAGCCACCAGCTGGATCAGCTCCTCCATGGTCAGACCTGCCATGGTGGTGCGTGCTGTCTTGATCTGCTGAAGGATGTTGGTCATCTGGGCCCTAAAAAAGAAAAGGAGAGACAGATTCATGGCAAATACCTATGAAGCCTCTCCTATTTTAGACCATCAATTTCTCTGACAAGTTTTACAAATTTAGTGCTTAAAGACACTTACTTATTGCACTGTGGGAACCGGGTCAGCAGCTTTTCCAGGATCTTCTCCAGTTTGTCTACTGGAGTTTCTACTGGTTGGGGCCGGGGAGTTTCAGTAGAAGCCTTAATACCACCCAAGCCTGGGGGAGGCGGGATGGAGGCAGCAGGGGGCATGTGCGGACCATGGGAACTAACAAGGGAACCCAAACCAGGGCTGTTTCTCCCATGGGAGCCAGGAAGGGGTGGGGAAGGCTGGCTGGGCTGAGAAATGGCAGGGTTCAGGATTGGGAAAGATAAGGAACGGGGATCTGCACTGGGCATGACCATGGGCATTGTGACCTGCCCAATGGAGAAGGGCATCCGAGGAACCAAAGAGGGACTGGGTTGGAACACCTGAAGCATGAAGTCTGTCTGCAGAGGGGAACAAGTAGAGGAAAAAGAGAAAGCAAGAAAATGAAAGTTTAGGAAACTGGAGCAGAAATCAATGAGCAACTCTTATATCAAACAATACCAATAAAAACCAATAATAATATAATAATAAAAGCAGTATCTTCTTTAAAAGAACAAGCAAAACATGCTGGTTCTGTCACAGAAAAGCTGATTCTCCAAAACCAGCATTTCTACCTACCTCTGATGGGGGTGGAGGCAAAGTGGGAGTAGGAATTTGAGGCAGGCTACTCAGCTTGGCTCCATTCCTCACTAGTTGGATATGACTATTAAATTGGTCCTAGAATAGATAGAAAGGACAGGATTATTCTTTACTACTGAGCTGAGTGAGTATCCCTAGAAAGAGAGTACCATCCCATATGAAGAAAACGAAGGGAGTGGTAGGATAGGCTCTAAATGGAAGTGTAGAAGGTCCCTCCCTATCACCAGAAGTATTTAAGCATAGATTAACTCAGACTCAATGATCCCTGTTACCACACTTACCCGGACATTCTTTTTCATCATCCGAACTCCATTCAGTCTTGTCTCCCACTCCTGTTTAGAACGAACTGTCTCTAGGGTCGGGGGAGTTGACCTTTCAAGAAACCAACAAGAATTTATAGAATTAAAGAAAACCGAACTCCCAACACTCTGAGCTAGCACAACAGTAACTGGCTAATGGGCCTGGAAAGAAGAGGTCAAACCAGATGCAAGAAAAAGCCAAAGATCTAGGTCATTTGCCTCATTTTAACTCCAGCATCTTTTAAGCCAAATACTGGAGAAAGAGAACTAACCACTGAGACCGGGGTCTTATTTGCCTGGAAGTGCCACATGGGAACTCCAGATCCCATGGCAAAAAGAGGAGAAATGACTGTATAAGAAACAAATCTCCAAAGAAAGCTGTAATGATTTGACAGCATAAAAGATACTATTTATACAATGGGAGCTAATATAACAGAAAATACAAAACTATAAAAGTGTAAAAAGGAAGAGTTGGAGAATGAGGAAGTTAGAATATGAGAAGAGAAATCACTGAACAATTACTACTGCACATAGATGACCGTGAAATTCCTGTGAAAATAAGTGCCAGACTAGCTGGCCTAGGCTTTCAAGCCCTTAAAAAAAAAAAGAAAAGAAAAGAAAAAGAAAAAAGAAGCCTCCCCCCCAAAACTGCAGGACCATTAAGATTCTAGAATGGGAAGATACTTACTTGAGGTAAGTAAGGTGCAGTTCTGCCTCTTTCTCTGCTTCTTCTAGCTTTAACACCAGCAACTCTTTCCGACTCTCTAGTGATAAGATCTAATGAAACCACACACACACACAGACACTTTATTAACTTTACATACATAAAGTTTAGTTGAAACAAATGCTTAGTGGCTATATGATGTAATACTTGTATGTCCTAGTGGTATAACGCTGTACCAAAAGGATACACCATCTGGAAGCCCTAAATCAAGGCCTTTAATATAACAGTTGTTCTTCTCACCTCTGCCTTCCAGGCCCGTTCTGTCTCTTCCATAATATTCTGATTTATTTCACCATCCTGATTCTTGAGCCTATCCAATTCCATTTCCCATACCTCTCTGTAAGATAAGAAACAAAGAACAGAACTAAGAGGAGAAAGACACTAAGGTAAAGTAAAACCCCAAACTGGTCTGCCAGCTATGTTACAGAAAGTCTTACTCTAAAATATGAACTACAGGTAACAGACAAGTAATGTTTAAAAGAGTCTGTAACTGCAAAAAGGCAAGTAGAATTTGGAAGTAAAAATGTTCATATCTCCACTTGCTAAAATAAGGTTACTCAGAGCAAGAAAAACTGTACTTAGAACCAAACCCACTAAAGGCAGAACGTTCTTCTGTTTTCAGAAAGGACTCAAAACCATTATGGCATTCCTCTTATTTCCAACTTATCTCTTGGTATGGGTACCGAAGAATGCAGGATGAAAAACAGGGGTCCGTTTAATACGAATCTCTAATTTACTACTAAGCACATAGTCACTGGCTTACTGAATTTCTTATTTTCTTAGTTAGGGTGAACTTTCTTCAAAAAGAAAAAAATCTTCTTGATTAGGATGACAGCTGCCCCGTGTGCCTAGTACTGATGGAGTTCCCAGGATGGGGACCCTGCTTAGGACTAACAATGACAATAAAGGAACAGAGCCAGCAAAAGAAATTCCTATTACATTTTATTGTAATATGTTTTATGGCTGAAAGCATTAGGATTACCCAGATAGTGGACAGAATAACATGGAAAAGTTTAAAATATTTTAAAAAGGTGAAAATAAAAAGGAAAGACTGAAAGAAGTTACATTGTAAAAATGTTCCCAGTTTTGTCCTGACCAGAGTGACTCAGTTGGTCAGGCATCCTCCACTAAAGCAAGACATCACTGGTTCAATTCCCAATTGAGGCACCTGCCTGGGTTGTGGGTTCAGTCCCAGTCAGAATGCATGTGGAAAGCAACTGATCGATATCTCTCTCACATCGATGTTTCTTTCTCTCTCTTCCCCCCCACTAAAAAAAAAAAAAAGAGAGAGAGAAAGAAAGAAAAAAAATGTTCCTAGTTTTTTTTTTTCAGTGAGAGAAGCAGTTTTATTCCTCTTCTGGTTTTTTTTAGTAGCCTTACATATTTGAAAGGGAACAATTCACTTAAATTGTTGAGGTCTCTTCTTCTTTCACTTGGCCCAATCCTCCACACATCCCTGTTCTCTATTTCACAGATAAAGTATAAGTGTGTGTGTGTGTTACACACATATTTATTGATTCACTAACATTAGTCTGTCCCTCTACTGACATACTTAATAAAACAGAAATGACTAGGTGGGCATTTTCTTCCTTAATTTCCATGTGTTGGCCTCCTCAAATTAACTTCCTGTCAGAGGAAAAATTCTCTAACAGTTCTTTCCATAAAGGTTTATAGTAGATGTATCTTTCTGTTACAACACCAATTCCTCAAGTTCAAAAAGATATGAGGAGTCACCCTTTGCAACAGCATGGATGGACTTGGAAAATATTATGCTAAGCAAAATAAGCTGTCAGAGAAAGATAAATACCATATTATCTCACTCATATGTGGAATCTAATGAACAAAATAAACTAATGAACAAAATAAAACCAAAGGCAGGAATACATGGAACAGAGTGACAGATCTCATAGGGGAAAGGGTTGGGAGACTGGAAGACATTAGCCAAAGAACATATATGCACATATGCATAGCCCATGGACACAGGCAACAATGTGATGAAGGCTGGGGATTGCGGGGAAGGGCAGAAGGTGGTTGGAGAGGGGAAAGGGGGAAGATAGTGGAGGACGTGTCCAATAGTTTCAACAATAAAAAAAAAACCTAAAAGCAAAATAAAAACTGCTGCTCTATGATACAACAAACGACTTAAGTTTTTGCAAGAAAACTGGAAGCAGGGCCATTTGCTATGGGAGAATTACAGGGGGGAGAGTGAACTTGAGGAAAAATAGTGAAGAATGAAAGAGTGGACACTTTGGACTGATGGAAAGCATCGCAGGCTCAGCTGATGTAAGAGGCAGCACACAATATATGTGTGTGTGCGTGTGTGTTTGCAAGCCCAGTGGTCCTGGTGGATGAGCAGAGGGAGGGAGCTGGAGATCAGTAGGACAGGTATAATGGATGTATAAAAAGGTCAGGGAACTGGAGACTCTGTCAGAAAGGAGTTGAAGCTCCCCTTCCACAATGACCCCATCTCAAATCTGCTATGGGAGAGAAAGTTAATGTTTTTCAAAAGCTATTAAACAGTTACAACATCCCCCCCGCCCCCCCACACACAAATGAGAAGTCAAAATTCTCTTACCATAAGAATATGTGAAATATGTGGGGTCAATCAATGATCTCTGTACCTACTAGTCATTTTTTGACAATGGGATAACTGTAGAAAAACATTACAATTGCCTTCTTTGATTAATGTTATTTTTGAAGATTATACTCACTGAATATCTCTAACCTCATTAAATACATTTGCCAACTACAGATATACACAATACCTATATATTAGAAAAATCCTCCTATCATGCCCATGGAGACATTCCACATATTCACACACAAAAAATGCTTTCCTTTTGGGCATTTTGCCACATCTACCTCATTGGGATCCAACAAGACAAAAGGGACTACTAGCAACAACAACCACAACTACTAGCAAACAGCTTAAAACAATCATAAAAATGCACAGCCTTATATGTTAACTAGCCTGTAACATATATTTACCATATTTCATTTCACTAAAGGGTACTACCTGCAACCCATGCTAGAAAAAAATCAGTTCCCTGCAGTAGATGGTTAAAAGAATCTTTGGTAGAATAGATACAGTGCAATGAGTCTATTATAACTTTTTAAATGCTTGATCTCATTTCTTTCAAGTCCCATGCTTCTGTTATTTTGCATAGTTAGTTCAGGGAATCAATGGATCAAATGACTAAATCCTGCCAGACTGTACAAGCCTAACCTGTAGGTCCCAATGTTTGCATAATTATAAAATTAATTTTCTTTTTGATCATGTAAATAATACAAATTATAAAAAGTTTAAAAAATACAAAACATACAGAATATAACATAGAGGTCCTAACTCTTCTATTTATTGATTGTATAACCCTAGACAAGTTAAACATTTTAGGCTTCAGTTTCTTCATCTGAAAAATGAGTAGTATCTACAACATAGGACTTGTGGGAGAATTCACTGAAAGAACACACATAAAAAATTTAATATGGTGCCCTGGGCTGGTGTGGCTCAGTGGATTGAGCACCAGCCTGCAAACCAAAGGGTCGCTGGTTCAATTCCCAGTCAGAGCACATGCCTGGATTAAAGGCCAGGTCCCCAGTAGGGGGCATGTGAGAGGCAACCACACATTGATGTTCCTCTTCCTCTGTCTCCTTCCCTTCCCCTCTCTCTAAAAATAAATTTTAAAAAATCTTGAAAAAACAACACTTAAAAAAAACCATGCAATATCTGACTATTTAGTCAGGAGTACTTACCTTAGCTTGTCAAATAAAAAAATGACAAAAGCCAACACAACAGCTGTCCAGTATGAAAGAATCAAAATTATACCTATTTTTTAAAGAATCAAAAATATATTTTTTGGTGTGCCATAGAATTTTAGTAATTAGTTTATGTGTCTAAATGAAAAAGGTTGAAAACCACTGATAAAAACTAATGTGATTCTTTAAATATTATAATATAAAATGTGTCAACACTTGGAAGACCTAAATAACTCTACACCAATGTTTTCTAAATTATCATTGCACTGTGCTGCCAAATCAAAACTGGGAACCACTTGGAACCCAAGAATCATTAGATTATTTTAAGATGAAGACATTTAAGGTTCAACAGATGCAGAAAAAAATCCTCCTGGTAGCTTCCCTTATCTGACTAAAAGCAGCAACTTCTGGGAAATTAAGCTGTCATAAATTCCTCTTAAGGGCAGTTCTACTCTAAGGACAGAGAATGTAAATAAAAACTACCCTGAATCCCTTCTCCAGAGGAGTTTTATGGTACTAAAAGAGACAAAAAAGAGACAAATACTACACAAACTTTTTATCTCTTGTTTGTTCTCCTGAACAATTATCTCCATTTATTTTAAAGTTCCATAAGTGACCTTTTTCCCATCCCAAGAAGTCATTTGTGTTCCCATAGTGCCTTTCTGGCCTCCTCACTTCACCTATTAAAATGGTATATAAACCCCAAATTCTAACCAGCCCTTTCAGTTACTCATTACTGAGCTCTCCCACATGTCTTCTGTCAGTTTAATTGACGGCCTCCGATGTTGAACCTAATAGAGGTAAGTTTTCCTCCCCTGTAAAGCATGCTTAAAAAATCCATTCAAAGTACAAGGTGAGCCAATGGATTTTAATGTAACAGTACAAAAAGTCCACTGATGTGGTTTCAGAATACACAGTGCGACTAACTTTTAAGAAACTATTACCTGTCAAGTTTTGGAGTACTATCAAAGAATATCCACAATTATCCAAAGGCAATTAAAATACTCTTCAGTTTTTTCCAACTACAGACCTGTGTTTATCACCAGATTGTCTACATATAATTTAACCAAACATCATACTGCAATAGATTAAGTGCAAAAAGATATGGGAAAAAGTGCTTGTCAAAGAAAAAAGAGATAAAATATTTTTTACAAGAATAAAGGTTAAATGACTAATCCAGCACCACTCAACCAATAAGAAGACTGGAATTGAAATACAGCGACTTTGATTTTCTTACCAGATCTATGTGATCATCTCACTAAATGCTGTTAGAATTTTATTTCTTTTAGAAAATGTTTACACAGAGTAGATTAAGTGGAGGAAACATGGTGGCATCTTTTGGTTATGATAAACCAAATACAAACGTTCCTAACCTGCTCCTAAATAAATAGGGGCAGCAGAAGCAAGCACCTCTCCTCCTCACTGACTCCACTGGCGGGGAGACTTCCCTTATTTTAGAACCTTAGAAGAGGTTCTAAATCTTCATGTTGGCTGTCTGTGGGAGAAATGTGAATGACAATATAACTCTTCTGGGAAAAAATACAGGTCTATAAAACTCTGCACTCTCTGGACTTAACTCAC